ATGCACATTAGGGGGGAGAGGGGCAGGGAGAGGTGAATCTAGAAAGAGAGTGTTACCAAGATCACAGATGAAACATACGGACAAAAGAGGTGAGATGGATTTAGAGTCAAATTAAAGAAATGTCTTGATTTTGCTGAATGCTGCTCCTACTCATGCCACTTACAACTCACCGGGTGACACACACAACGACAGCTGCCAGTTAGAAGCCCCTACTTTACGCTGGGGACTTCACAGGTGCTTGACATTCAGGATTGCTCACTTCAAGGACAAGACAGGTAGGATCAGTCCTGCCACAGACAAGGCAGGAGGCTCCGGGAACAGAGGTACTGCTTTTCTAGGGTCACACAGGAACAGGCAGAGCCAACATTCAAAACCCAAGTCTTTGTTCTCACTGCACAGCCTGACTGCAGGACACAGACCATCTCGAGAGCTGTTTTCCCAGCTCTCAGGCCTCTCTGTCACCTCCCAGCGGCCACGCTGTGAAGGCCTCCAGTGGAACAAGTCTGGGCACTGCAGGTTGGCAAAGTCCGTCTGGAAGGGTCTTTCTCAATGTGCATCTGCTGCCGCCTCTGGCTTCCTGCCAGTTGCTGAGCTGTTTTGTCAAATGTTTAGAAACTATGGCGACTGGCTGAGTAAATAACTGAAGTTGTTATGGCAACCATCAGAAACTTCATCTAAACTTGTATCTCACAACTATTCAAAATTTATGCCCCAGTTGTTGACAGGGGAAAATGGGGAGTTTCTTTTTAGGGGGGAATAAAATGTTCTCGAATTAGGTGGTTATACAACTTTGAATGTACTAAAACCACTTTATGAAAAGGTGAATTTATGGCATGTGAATTACTTCTAAGTAAAAACAACTCTGGCTTTAATAAAAAGAGTCAGATATTACCAAGTCCTGGTGAAATGTGGAGGAACTATAACCCTCATATATTGCTGGTGAGCGTGTGAAATGGTGTAGCCACTTCAGGAAATAGTTTGCCAGATCCTCAAAAAGTTAGTTACTTTATGATCCAGTAATTCCACTCCTGTGCATATAAAACCCCTCAAAAGGAAAACATATGTCCACACAAAAACCTGTATGCAAATGTTCACAGGAGCATTATTCATAACAGCTAAAAAGTAGAAACAGCCCGGCTGGCGTGGTTCAGAGGTTGAACATCGACCTATGAACCAGGAGGTCACAGTTCGATTCCCGGTCAGGGTGCATGCCCAGGTGGCGGGCTAGATTCCCAGTGTGGGGCATGCAGGAGGTAGCCACTCAATGATTCCCTCTCATCATTGATGTTTCTATCTCTCTCTCCCTCTCTGAAATCAATAACAACATATTAAAAAAAAAAAAAGTAGAAACAGCCAGAATACCCAGCAGCTGACAGACAGGTACATGAAATGTGAGACACCCATGCAATGGAGTATTATTTGACCTCGGGAGGAACAAAGTACTGACACATGCTACAACATGGGTGAATCCCGAAAATATTGTGCTAAGTGAAAGAAGCCAGTCATAAAGGATCATCCATTGTGCGATTCCATTTATGTGAAATGCCCAGAGCAGGCAAGTCTATAGAGAAAGAAAGTGGGTGAGTGGTTGCCTAGAGCTGGGACGGCTAAGGGGGAAAGGGAGAGCAACTCTAATAGGCATGGGGTTTCTGTGTGGCAATGAAGATGTCCTAAAATTGACTGTGGTAATGGCTGCACAGCTATTGAATAGCTATACATCATTGACTTGTACTGTACAATTTAGGTGGGAATTACTAGCATATCTCAATAAAGCTGTTAAATATTTATAGGCTCATTTCCATTAATTTTTGAAATATTATTTACCTAAAACGATGCCAGCGAAAACTTGTTGTAACGCAGCCTGTAACCCTGCTTAGTTGACTAATCAAGGGGATTAAATTCTCTTAAATAAGCCCTGCCCAGGCCGGTTTGGCTCAGTGGATAGAGCGTCGGCCTGGGGACTGAAGGGTCCTGGGTTCGGTTCCGGTCAAGGGCATGTACCTCGGTTGCAGGCACATCCCCAGTAGGGGGTGTGCAGGAGGCAGCTGATCGATGTTTCTCATCGATGTTTCTAACTCTCTATCCCTCTCCCTTCCTCTCTGTAAAAAATAAATAAAATATATTTAAAAAAGAAAAAAGAAAAAATAAGCCCTCACCATAATGACAACTGGACTTAGATAAGGCCAAGTTCAAGGTTTAGCAGGTTTATAGAAATGCTGCCTCCAGGAAATCGATAAAATCATGTATCGTAATACTATTGCTCTATTTTTTTTTTTTTAACAGTACTAGCCTTGGGGTACATAAAAAAGTACTATAAATTAAGCTAGGTCAGGGAGCATAGGAGTGAGTTTACCTTAATGTGTGTTTCTTAAAAAGTACTGAAAGAGCACTTACCGACAAGCAGCTTATTCCTGGTTTGGGATTGAAAGTCACATTTCAGGTATCATTTCACATTTTAGAAACTATTCTGTTATTAGAAAAATACTCATCTGTAAAATTTTGGAACTGTACTTGTTTGGGATGTTAAGATTTCCCAGTAAAGAGGAGAGTACGTATGCCCTGCCCAGCATGAATGTCTGCAGTGTTAGTTCCCACATAGAGGGGCTTATGGAGAGGCAGGGCGGGAGACACACGCAGGGTCCTGGGCAGGACTCCAGCTAAAGCCGCTGCGGAGCCGGGACCATGTGGTGGAGACGGGGAGGAACAGGCTAACGAGAGTTGTAGGGAGAAACCGTCACCGAGACTGTGACTGGACACGGACTGAGAGCAGGGGCCTCAGGGATCTCAGGGTAAACAGGCAAGCGCCCAGGTAGTCCTCAAGCTTCCCACCTTAGGCCCCTTTTGGGTCAGAAAGGGATAATTCTACCCTCAAAAACAGCTTTTCATTCAGTTTAACATTCTTTTGCCCACCTAGACTTACCTTCCTTTAAGAAAACTTACAGTACAAATGAAAACGTACCCTTTACATGTAAAAACTCTACAGATAAGCCAGAGGTAAATCACCAAACTTCAACCGAGTGTAGACATACCATTTCTATTCAGAAATCTACTCTCTGCTCAGAAAGGCATTTTGTAGATACACATATATGAACATCATCATTATACAAAGGAGGAAAGTGAAGTGCAGAGCAAATAGGTCTCACCAAGTGACCTAGAACCAGAAGTAAGATTCAACTTAGGTTTTACAACTCTTAATTCGGCTTCTTACACTCTTATACTCATTTTATATTAGATGGAAAAAAATAAGCTTAAAATAATCTTTATAAAGACTATTCCCAGGTTTTATAAACATGTTATTTCAAGTGCATTAGGGGGTAGTAATTCTATACATATCTTCTCACTGGTAGTAAGTACTAAGCAACTTTAAATTATATAATCCCACCTAGGAAAACTGGGATAAGGCCATGGAAGGGAGGAATACCGTAAAAGGAGTCATAATCGTGAAGCTATGACTGACCCTGATACACATGCAACTAGATCTCAGTTCTTAAAAATATCACAAGACTGGATTAGAGAGGCACAGTCAAGCTTCCCTTGAATTATAAAGAATAAATCAATTTATATAAATAGTACTGTATATATCATAGCTAATGTAGGTCTTGTAAGAAAATGCTTTCATATTGCTTATCAAATTTATTTTAATTTGCTTTAAGACTACTAAGGAAAAGCAAAGACAAAGGGATCAATTAACTGGAAAGTCAAATCATGAGCTGCATTAAAAAGTTATCAAGTTACCTTATAGAATAAATAAGGATTGATTTGTAGAAACTGGAAAATTTCATCTTTTACTCCAAATTAAAAAATACTGGCCCTAACTGGTTTGGCTCAGTGGATAGAGCCTGCGGACTGAAGGGTCCCAGGTTCGTTTCCGGTCAAGGGCATGTACCTTGGTTGTGGACACATCCCCAGTAGGGAGTGTGCAGGAGGCAGCTGATCTATCTCTCATCGATGTTTCTAACTCTCTATCCCTCTTCTTTCCTCTCTATAAAAAATCAATAAAATATATTAAAAACAAACAAAAAAACCAATAAAAAACAGACTATGGCAAATCAGCCACAGACACAGAAGAGAGCAGCAGGTGAGAGGAGGCAGTGCACTCTGCGCACGAGAGCCGGATGCAGGCGGCTGGCCTGGGAGTGGCGCTGACCAAGGAGTCCCAGCGGGGGATGCCCCAGCACCCTCCAGCCGCCCCCCCATCCCGCTTCCGATAGAAAATAGCCAGAGGCTGCCTTTTCCCAGGGCTGCCCTGTCATCCAGGCAAAATAGTCCCTACTTCGACATTTTAATCACCAAACCACATGCCCAATAAGTTATGCTCTGAATTACTTTGTAACCAAAGTGACTATAGATAATTAAAGCTTGATGTCTTATTCAACATTATATGTTAATGTATATATTCACCCACTGAGTGAGTTGGAAAGATTTTATAGAGAGTAAGACTATACAAGCACATACACTCACAGGTTAGAGATCAAAGCCACAGTGATGACAGAAGGAAATTTTTGAGACTAATTTTGGCAGAAAAGGGTCTAATTTATAAAGGAAGAGGACTCTATATTCAGGGAATCTCTCTCCCCACCCCCAAATGTATACACACTTTAATATCTTTAGATCAATTGATGTTTCTTGCTTTTCAGATTTAACCCATTGGGATTAATAATTATTCAAAGTGTGCATACAGTTTTTGGGGATACCCTGTATTTAAAGTATCTAGTGTGAAAACATGTATAAAGAATGTCAATTTTAGCACATTTATTACAGAGCATACTGGGAGTAGCCATAAAGCAATGGTTAAACAAAGGATGGTACACCCACACGGTGGGACGCTGCGGAGACACGGCACACGCCCGAATACCACACAGCTGGGTCTGTTTGTGCACCTGTAGCACTAGCTCCGGACTATACCGAGAGAAGACAAGCGAGATGCAGGGCCGACACAGTGTGGGCGGGAAGAAGATGTGTTTTCAAGGAGTGGCACAGGCAGTAATTAAAACCAATACCTGGTGGGATCTTCCTGGCCGTGCCTGTCTTGGTTTTTGGGCTTCTCTTTCCAGGTAAGTTTTCGTCCTTTCCCGAGAAGTCCTGTCCATCCTTGGGGCCTTCACAAGCAGTGTTTTCTGAGGTCTCACTGGCGGCCGCCTCACAGCTGGGTGTGCAGCTTGCATTGTTGTTGAGACTGTCCTGCTCGGACGCTGCAGGGTTGCCCATGGCACCGTCACTGCTGGTTAGGCGGTCATGCCCACACCCGTCAAGGCGATTTTCATTTTCGTCCGATGCAGAAGGCAAGTGGGACCCTACACTTTCCACACCGCCACCGGGATGACGCCCATCTTGTGGTTCTATCTGAAGTTTACCTGCAGGCGGTTCACTGTCATCCATTAGAGCATCTTTTGTGGAGTCCTGTGAGTTTCATTAAAGTCCTTCCATGTCTGCAATGACAAAAAGAGAAAAGCTGCTTTATTTTCTAAATTCTGGATCTACCAGGGAGCCTCCTTTTCCTCTTCTCTGGGGTTGCCTGACTTAACCAGGGAGGCGTGGGAAATGCCTGGCGCTCACTCCCGCCCCCTCTCGCCCACTCGCAGTCCCACCCCAGCCCCCCTCCCCCGTTCTCGTTTGGACACAGTGGTTCTCAACCCTGGCTGATGTTTACTACAAATAAACACGCCAGTAAAGTCTGCCGTAAATCTATCAAATCAGAGTCTCTGTGGCTCAAGCCCAGAGATGGTGTATTTTTAGTTCTCTAGGACATTCTAATGTGCATCATGTTGGGACTGTTGCCTCAATGAAAGAAATTATTGGTAAGATGAGGTTATCTGCTAAAATCGACCACTCATGCTGTAACTGGACACTTAACCGGACAAGTGAAAGTTAGTTGTTTAAGTCCTTGTCTGGACAAACACCAGCAATATTTGCAAATGAAAACATTTATATCTATTTAAAATAAACTGAAAAAGGCATGTGGGGAAAAATTCAGGTAGCATATATTTATACTATTCTCATTACATCTTTCACATTCTGAAAATAAGCCCTAAAAAAGTACAATTGTTAGCAAACTCCTTTTATACAATTAAGAATGATAAGAAAGAGAACACCATGATTAACTCTAGCCTATTTAGTTTAAACTTATATCTGTTTCGAGGATCCTGCTAACATTTTGAAGATCTACAAAATGGATTGCAAGCCCTTGATCAGTCACGTTGTGTCCACTCTTATCAAAAAGTACATTACATTTTAAGGGGAATGGTGTCAGCCAGATTTAGTTTTATTTCATGCCAAATATGATTTGGGGTTTGAATAAAATATTCCAGTAATTCTGGAAAAAAACCCTACCCCTCAATAATAGAACTTTTTAAATTCTTCTAATTAATAAACAGAAATGCTTACTCTTTAGACATGTAAAGTACAATTCTTTAAAAATATGTAAAGGAAGTATAAACTATATCATCAACTCTACCCTGGTTGTATCATATGCTTTCAACATATTTTGCAACTGGAATACTTTGATTCAGACATAACAGTACTGCTTGGCAAACATAAAAATATCCAAATCTGACTGGTATCATCTTCCTTAAAACATATACTACTTATCTTCAACGGATAGGTATGTGATGTAAAAAGTAAGATGATTTGATTTGACTAGAATAACTTAGTGTAGAACTAAAAGAAATTCTAAATAGAGGGGGTTACTGTTAAATGGTAACAGAGGCTTTGCTTACGGTGATGGAAAGACCTGGAAACGAGAATGGTGATGGATGCATGACAGTGTATAATTGATGACACAGAATTGTAGACTTAAAAATTGTTAAAATGGACATTCAGAAAGCCAAGAGACACATGAAAACATGCTCAAAGTCAGTAATCATCCGAGAGATGCAAATCAAAACAACAATGAGGTACCATCTCACACCTGTCAGACTGGCTATCATCAACAAATCAACAAACGACAAGTGCTAGAGAGGATGTGGAGAAAAAGGAACACTCGTTGCACTGCTGGTGGGAATGCAGACTGGTGCAGCCACTATGGAAGACAGTATGGAGTTTCCTCAAAAAACTGGAAATGGAACTCCCATTTGACCCCGTGATCCCACTTCTAGGAATATATCCCAAGAAACCAGAAACACCAATCAGAAAGGATATATGCACCCATATGTTCATAGCAGCACAATTCACCAGAGCTAAGATCTGGAAACAGCCTAAGTGCCCATCAGTAGATGAATGGATTAGAAAACTGTGGTGCATCTACAGGATGGAATACTACGCTGCTGTAAAAAAGAAGGAACTCTTACCATTTGCAACAGCATGGATGAAACTGGAGAGCATTATGCTAAGTGAAATAAGCCAGTCAATGAAGGAAAAATACCACATGATCTCACTCATTCATGGATAATAGAGACCATTATAAACTTTTGAACAGTAGTAGATACAGAGGCAGAGCTGCCTCAAACAGATTGTCAAACTGCAGCGGGAAGGCCGGGGAGGGTTGGGGGGCAGGAGGGAGGGGGGTAAGAGATCAACCGAAGGACTTGTATGCATGCATATAAGCATAACTAATGGACATAAGACACTGGGGGGTAGGGAGGCCAGGGGACTGTCAAAGGCGGGGGAAAAAAAAGGACACATATGTAATACCCTTTGTAATACTTTAAGCAATAAAACAAACAAACAAACAAACAAACAAAAAACAAAAAAAAATAAAAAAAATTGTTAAAATGGCATGTTTTATGTTATTTATATTTTATCACAATAAAAACAGTGAAATTTATGTGGCTATGTAGGACAAATGTCAGACCTTAAAACTGGTAATCGCCTCGATTATTTTATAATTTAAATAAACAAGCCATAGTCTACATGTATTTGCAGTTGAAAAGCACAAAGGTTTTACTTTTACCTGCAAGTGACACGGAAGTCACAGGCTAAGGGGGACAGTGGGAAGTAGAAAACCTTTTGGAGAGCCCCAAATAGTAGCCATCCTGTCGTGGTGAGTCACTTCCGTTCGTTAGAGACTGTGCCGGGTACTTCACGTGCCTTATTCCCAATCCTCCGAATAAGCCCGTTACATGGGCCGCATTCACTCTGGGCTTCAGATGGAGACTCTGAGGCCCGAGAGGCAACAACCCCTGGCTTCAGATCACGTTCCTGGAGAGAAGTGGAACTGGGTCTGAAACCAGGACTTCCTGGTCCGACCCTGGTGCGCTGCAGCGTGATGGCTGAGAGCAGCGGCAGACTGAGGCTCAAATCCTGGCTCTGCCACGAACAACGGCGTGACTTCGTTACCTAGCACCTCCAAGCTTCACTTCCCTCATTAGAGAGGAGAATTTTAAAACCTGCCCTGAAGTGTCGTTTTTGAGGCTGACACAACACGGCAGGCAGAGCACTTAGCAGGGTGCCTGGCCCCCAGTGAATGCTGAATGAAAGCGGGCTGTCATTACTTGCACAGATTCTCCAGGTTGGCATTCAACACTGGCAGGTCACTCGTGCAGGTCTCAGCCTCTGCCTCAAGGCGGATTCAGAAACGGCGCTTTCCTGACCTCCCAGGAACGCTTAGGTTCCTGATGACGGACTCAGGCTCCCAGCACCGTTTGAGAATGCTGGGAAGCACTGCTTTGTGACGGGGTATCTGATTTCGTTCCTGGAATGCTTAAGTGTCCGACCTGCACACCCTGTTTGAGATGATTCAGGTATCAAGAAATTAGTGGTTAAGGCTCTTGGTGGGTATAAAATTACAGATCATATTCACAGCTTCGCTGAGTGTCGTGCTAGGCCCTGAGTGAAACTCTTCAGATCAGTGCTTTCATTCAATCCTCACGATTCCTTAGCAGACAGATGGTTTTAGCCCCATGGTACCCAGGCAGAGACAAGTAGCGTATCTTGTCAAGAGTCACTCGGCTCGCACGTTTAGGCATGAAATTTGAACGAGTTCTGATCCCGAGGCCACATTCTTGTCATTATGCCCTACGGACAACGGGGAGAAGTCTGTAACTGAAAGAGTACCTCACTCCAGTGAGGTACGCCCCAGTGATTAATCTCCGCCCGACAGCAGGGGACACACATCTGATGACCAAGTTCAAGTTCCTGGAAGTCTTCTCTTTCCCTGGGACGTGCTGGGCCCACACAATGCACCATTTCCTACATGGCCTGCCTTCTCCTGTTGAGAACCATTTAAAGCTATATACAGGTGTCCCCCCAAAATGCAAACACACTATGTCTGTAGATTCTATTACATTTTGAAAATGAAATGTATTTCAATAAACACTGCCTTTATAATTATTCAAAGTGTGTATACATTTTTTGGGGACACCCTGATATGCTATTTCAGTAACTATTACCAGTAGCATAGGTGTCCCTTCCTTTGGGCCTCAAGACATGTTGCCTATTAGTTTGTAATGACAATTAGTTTAATTCTCAAAAGGTAACTTTGTAAACTACTTTTAAAAAAATATTTTTATTGATTTCAGAGAGAAAGGGAGAGGGAGAGAGAAATAGAAACATCAATGATGAGAGAGAATCATTGATCGGCTGCCTCCTGCACGCTCCCCACTGGGGATTGAGCCTGCAACCCGGGCATATGCCTTTGACTGGAATCGAACCTGGGATCCTTCAGTCCGCAGGCCGACACTCGATCCACTGAACCAACCCGGCCAGGGCTGTCAACTACTTATTAATACTGACTCTTATGGTCTTTCCATGGCATGAATGTCTTATAATTATTCTTACAAGACACCTACCAATTCTTCAAGTCCTGGCTGAAAAGTCAATCCAATTTGCTTACCCTGACCTCTCCCTTCCAAAAGGCCCAAACATAACATACCCACTAGAGCAGGGGTCACCAACAGGTGGTCGGCGAACCACGGTGGTCCGTGAGGTCCGAAAGGTTGGCGGCTGCTGCTCTATGGCAGTCTGTACCACCACAGAGTCCTTCCCAAATACTGTCCTACATGGTATATTTTTGCTTATGTGTCCTCCTAGATGTAAGCATCTGGATGCCCATAACCCAGCCACAGGTAATTTTTATTCTTCACAATGGCTAGTCTTGGGCCTTGTTCTTACAGATACATGAAGGAGTAAGAGAACCAATTTTCTACTGTTTCTCTCTGAAAAGGAAAAAGTCAGGCACATGGATTCCCGTCCACTTCCTCGGAGAGGTAAAGGGACCGATCATACAGTATTTGGCTTCTGTCTACATTGCTGACGCACTTCAACTAGAATATTTTAATTCAAACAATAGGATAACTTTCTTAATGGGACTTGTAATTTTTTAAATATATTTTATTGATTTGGAAGCAGTTACAGATGTTATAGAGATAGAGAGTTAGAAACATCGATGAGAGAGAAACATCGATCAGCTGCCTCCTGCACATCTCCTACTGGGGATGTGCCCGCAACCCAGGTACATGCCCTTGACCGGAATCGAACCTGGGACCTTTCAGTC